TTTCCATAGGTGAAAAATCCTTGTCAAATTGGATTTATCAAACCTTTCCTTGAAATCATTCTAGATCTTCTTCGAACTAGAAGTATATACTATGCTAGTCATCAACTCTGGTGCAACTGCTGCACTTATCCAAGATAAAACAACTGCATCACATCTTTCCCATCTAACTGCCAGATCTCCCTTGTACGAACTTTTAACACATGTGCCATCAACAAATCCAAGTTTATTTTTGACTAGTAATGCTAATCGCATAGATCTGCTCCACACACCATAGTTCTCTGGTCCTGTAAGCTTCATAGGAATCAAGGCAACACCAGGTATGTCTGATGCTTGAAGATGAAGTGGATGGTTGTGATTCGACTGGGGATTATCTTCTACCTCTGTACTCTGTGATTCCACCATTGTTGCAGCTTCAACAATTGCAAAAAATTATAGATTCAAAAACTTCAGAATTCCTTTGATCGAAGCTCTGATACCATATTATGTTTGTGAATTCACACAAACACAAAAAGACAAAAGAACAGAAGAAGAAGAAGAAAGAAGAAACGCAGAGATAGTTTTGCAGGGAGAATTTGGAAGCAATCTGTCTTCCTTTTTCTTATTGATCTTGCTTGTACATCTATGCTTCATCATTTATATATATAGAGAATTACAATTGGTGTTAGTTTGTTACAAACTAACTCTTCAACTAACTATAACAAATCCTAACAGAAAAATGGAAAACATGTGACAAGCATGTGACTCTAACTAACACATGTGACTCCAACTAACATTTGAACTAACCAACCATAAAACTACACATCATCATATCTACATTTCAATACATATGAATAAGCTTTTATATTATTAAATCTAGTAAAAAAACTAACGTAACGATAGGTACAATCTATAATGACTGAAATTTGTTCAAACATATACGATATTTGATATAGTTGTGGAAATATATAAATTTTAGTTTTGCATTGAAATGTAAAATAAATTGAAGACTATAGCTTATAGCTCAAAGAATTAGAGCACGCAACACAAATTGCAATATCAGAAAGTTTAAATTTCTCCTTGTCCATATATGATCCAAAAGGAAATTACCATTTTATAGGGGGCGGGAGAGGGTAGAAAAATCATGATGAAAAACGAAAAAGCTTAGAGAATTAAAGAATACAATACAAATCACAATATCGAAAAGTTTAAATTGCTCCGAGTCCATATATGATCTAAAAGGAAAGTACCATTTTACGGGCCGAGAGAGAATAGGATAATCATGATGAATATAGCTTAGAGAATTAGAGCACGCAATGCAAATTACACCAATATTGGAAAGTTTATGATCCAAAAGGAAAGTACCATTTCTAGGAGATGGGAGAAGATAGAAAAATCATGATCAAAATAGTGAACTAAAATCATGAAATTTAATTATCAAATAAAATGACTTATTTATAATATTTATCATGAATGAGAGAATTATTACTCAGAATATGTCCAATTGGTGTACTATTCATTCTACACCTTGTAACTGCCTACTATTTAGTAGCTTAATAAAAAAAATCTGCAATATTTTCGTAAAAATTCTGGAAAAATACATTATTTTGATAAATTAATTTTAATAATAACTTACTTTAATTAAAATTATAAAGTCATAATCTTCATTTTTGTTAGCTATTTCGCGAATTTACTTTTGCATATTTTGAACTTTTTTATTGAAAATTTGAACTCGCCGAACTTTATCACTTAGCATTAGTCTATCTTATCATTTTTGTCTTCCTTCTCCAACCATGGAAGTTTTCTCCTATCCAACACTTATCTTCATTGCCCTCATCTCTCTTTTTTTCTTCTACTTCCTCAAAAAGAATCCCAATAAATCCGGTTTCAAAATCTACCCACTCGTCGGAGCATTGCCGGAGTTTCTCCTTAACCGTCACCAATTTCTCGAATGGACCACCAATGTACTCTCAAATTGCACTACCAACACCGCCGTCTTCTATCGCCCTGGAAATATTCACGGCGTCATGACGGCGAATCCACTCAACGTGGAACACATGCTCAAAGCCAATTTTGAAAATTTCCCAAAAGGATTTCGATTCTATACTCGGCTGGAAGATTTCCTCGGCGACGGAATTTTTAACGTGGACGGTGAAATCTGGAAAATTCAAAGGAAATCTGCTAGCTATGAATTTAGCACCAGATCTCTAAGAAATTTCGTCATGCAAACTGCCCAGGTAAATGTTTAATCACGCTCAAACAGAAAAAATTCAAACTAATTAGATGAAAAGGGAAAAAAATAATTAAAGTGACCCACTAGAGAAAAAAAAAGTATATATATATATATATATATATATATATATATATCTTTTTATCATTTTCGTCTTCTTTACCCAAATTCTCAACCATGGAATTTTTCTCCCTTATCTTCACTGTCCTCGTCTCTCTGTTTTTCTTCTACTATTTCAACAAAAATCTCCAAAAAAAGGGTTTCAAAATCTATCCACTCGTCGGAGCATTGCCGGGTTTTCTCCATAACCGTCATCGTTTTCACGATTGGATGACCGATGTACTCTCTAATTGCCCTACCAACACCGCCGTCTTCCATCGCCCTGTAAATGTTCACGGCATTATGACGGCGAATCCACTTAACGTTGAACACATGCTCAAAACCAATTTTGAAAATTTTCCAAAAGGATTTCGATTCTATACTCGGCTACAAGATCTATTCGGCGATGGCCTTTTCAATGTGGATGGTGAAAGTTGGAGAACTCAACGGAAATCTGCTAGCTATGAATTTAGCACCAGATCTCTGAGGAATTTCGTTATGGAAACTGCACAGGTAATATATACTAATAGTAGTTTAATAGAGGTCGTGAAACCAAAAATAATAATTTTGTTAGGTTACGAAAACACAAAGAAAACCTAGTAGTTGAACTCTGTTAATTCGACCTCACGACATACTTTTATTTGCTTAATTACGTTATAACAGGTTGAGATTCATACGCGATTGATTCCAATACTTGAAGAAGCATCTCAAAGGGGTAGAATTATTGACATTCAAGACATCTTAGAAAGATTTGCATTTGATAATATCATCAAGCTTGCATTCAATGTGGATGCAAATTGTTTAGGAGGAGCTGAAAGTGAATTCATGCAAGCTTTTGATATTGCAACAACTCTAAGTTCAGGTAGATTCATGTATGCAATTCCCTTCCTTTATAAAATAAAGAAAATTTTGAACATTGGTTCAGAGAAAAAACTACAAGAATCAATTAAGGTGGTGCATGAATTCGCGGATAATATAATAAATTCAAGAATGGAAGAGCGCGATGAGAAGAAAGATGAAGACTTGTTATCAAGATTCATGGGAGATAGTAATGAAGTTTCAGCTAAATTCCTGAGGGACATTGTCATTAGTTTCATCCTAGCTGGTCGGGACACGACATCATCAGCTCTAACTTGGTTCTTTTGGATATTGTCTTCAAGGAAAGATATAGAACAGAAGATATTAGAAGAATTAGTTGAAGTTCGTGGAAGAAATGGGAAAAAGATTGGTGAGGCTTATAATTTCGACGAGTTAAGAGAAATGCAGTATCTCCATGCAGCTATTTCAGAATCCATGAGGTTATATCCACCAGTACCAATTGATACAAGGAGTTGTTTGAAAGATGAAATTTTACCAGATGGGACTTTTATTGGTAAAGATTGGTTTATAAGTTATCAAACTTATAGCATGGGAAGAATGGAGAATCTTTGGGGTAAAGATTGTTGCGAGTATAAACCAGAAAGATGGTTCGACGAAAATGGTGTTTATAAACAAGAAAGTCCATTTAAATTTCCAGTGTTTCATGCTGGACCAAGAATGTGTCTTGGAAAAGACATGGCTTATATTCAGATGAAATCAATTGCAGCTTCTGTGTTAGAAATGTTTGAATTTGATGTTCAGTTGGAGAATGGCAAGTGCCCTGAATATGTGTTATCTTTGACTCTAAGAATGAAAGGAGGTTTGCCTGTGGAGGTGAAAGAAAGATGTTAAGTAAGACCATTTCACGAGCCGAGCCGATCTATATCGATGTAATGGAAGTGAAAGACTCAGCAATGAATAATAGTCACGAGTCTATATAGTATAATTATGGCGATGTAATGTCTAATGTATTGAGAAGATTTGGTTGTTATTTTCATGATGTATATATTATAACTTGAAGGAGAGTTCAGTTTCATTTTTTCGATAATTAAGGAGCAATAATGTATTATTGCACACACATAACATATTACACATAAAAAGACGATCATCACCCTCCATAAGTCTAAGTTACTGATATCTGTTTAAGGTAATACTATTACATATCGAAATACGAAGAGATGTGGGCAGTGAGGACTACTAGTAGATCTTATGTTATCTACAAAATTGTTTGTCAGTGGTGCTACTGCTACACACACTCCATATTCAGGTAGTCACCAGAGGAGCAGCTGCTTTAAATGGAAGCATACAAGAGTAAGTGACATACTTGACACTGTCGATCAGCACAACAACAAATATCCGAGAAAGGGACTTGGGACCCATTATGCCATCACCATCAGCATCACCTGCCTCTCTTGGATCAACCAAAACAGACACTACCATGGATGATAGTGACTTGTTCCCGGTGAAGTTCTCTTGCTTTCCAGCTGTTCCACTTTGTTCTTCAGAAATGTTATGAGAGGGTCTAGAAAGGGAAACAGGAGTACCATTGAGGATCCTTCTATTTCTGTGGATGCGTGTGGCATTCTGCCTTTGTTCCATAGAAATATTTCTACCGTTGGTAGCACGAACTATGGCCCCTGGAGCAGATGATAGAACATCAAACTGGAACACTTCTGTACACATGCCTGAACTCATCAAAGGTCCTGTTGAAATAAACACAAACAATGAATTAAAAGACTGGAAAGCAGAAGCCTTTCTCCAAACAATAAATTTGTCAGAACATTAACTATGAAGAGGATAGAGTGAGGTCAGACATAAAATTAAGGGACCTAGCAACTCAAAATGCCTAATTCTCAAGGCAAACATGTGAAAGAGAAGCAAGTCATAAACAAATTTGATTTCGCCGAAATTTGATTAGGGTATAAAAGCCAGAGGAATACATTTCTATCAAGATATAACAGATTTGAACTTAAAAAAAAACGAAAAGCAGAACATGAGTTTAATGATAGGAAAGTCCTTAAACCGCTCGCTCATATCACAAAGATAAGAATTAATAGAGTGAGTCTAGATTGCTACAGTACTTACCGGCAACACCTTCAAGGTACCACTGCTGCATAGTTGACTGCACATTCTCCTTTTCTACAGTCCCAAGAGCCCTTTGTCCCACTGCAGAACTTCGATAAAGGCGAGGATGGCTTCCGGGGATAGCAGGGGCTAAATCTCCAGGAACTGCAAGGCCTGTCTCTCTATTGTTCTTATCAGAACCTCCATGAGATGCCATGGCTTTCTCACTTGCTAATACAGACTGAATAATCAGGTTCCCGTCAATCTTAACAAGTTTATCATTCCTCGGGACATACAAAGAGGCTGCTAGAGGGTTACTACCATTGCCCATGTGAACAAACTCATCCGCAGCCTTGTAGGTGTTTTGCTGATTGCTTTCACTGTGGTCGCCCCGGCCACAATGTGAGCTATAATCTTTTTCACTGTACTTCCCGGAATACCCAGTCCCATTCACCGGCCCATCCACAACCAAAACTCTTCCATGATGTTTCTCGTAGAATCCACTCCCAACAGAAAATCCACCCAAAAATGGCTCCCTCGTACCTCCATATCTCACATTCAGTAAAGGAACCAACCCACCAAAGAGCAGCATGAAGAAAAGCACGCCAAGTAAGCTAATACTGGCAACCTTTTTAGTTTTTACCTCACTCTTCTTTTTCTCCCCTTTCTTGGTACTCTTTGGCGCAGGCGCTGCTGCCTGTGGTTTCAACTTGGGAATAGGAACCAATGGCACTTGTGACCCTTGTGGCTTCATCATATAAGGTGGGGGATATGACATCCATGGATACACCATAGAAGGATGGGGATACATCCCAGGGGGTGGCTGCACTTGAGGAGGTACACCAGTACCCCCAAGCTGTGTCTTAAGAGTTACATTTTCCGCCATTACGTAGGATATCTTAGCATTCAAGTCTTGAATTGTTGAATGCATTATTCTAACTTTATCCTCTAATTCCTCAACATAATGCTTCTTCCTTTGTCTTGACAAGTGAGCACTTTCCCTATTCCTAATTAGTCTAGCCATCTTCTTTTCGTCCTCATCATTATTAACATTATCACTAAGGGAAAACATACTGGATTTTTGATGTTTACTTGCGTTATTCAAATCTTCACCACCCTTTTTCCTTTTCAATAAAGAGCTACTACAGTTACTTATATTAGCACTGACACCCTCTAATTTAAATTTATGTTCTACAGTTCCACCTTTAACTGAATTACTTCCTAAATTGGGAGAAGAATGTACCGATTTGTTCGAATCCGACAGATAATTCAGCCCTCCGCAATTGCCAGAACCCTGCGACTCCGGTGAATGACAATTCAAAACCTTTGCATCACTCAAACCTTTCTTGTCATTGCTAGACTCCCGAGAAACATCATGGTTGGATCCATTGGACTCCGGAGATGGCACATTCAAATACCCGGAGACATCAGTAGAAATCTGGGGCAACGACGGCGACACTTCATTCGAAAGTCTCGAGCTGCTGGAACGCTGAACAATCTCCGGCGATGACGTGTCCATAACCATCACACCTCCTGCTGCCTGATTACCAGAAATATCGCTCATTTCCTCCAACTTCAACTTGACATTAGTAGAAGAATCGACAGAATTCCCAATCAATTGACTTCCAGATTGACCAAAGCAATTAGGGTCCATCTGGACCGAATTGGAACCCGGAGCTTCCTCCAGAGAATCTCCCGAGGTCGACTTGAATATTCCAGAAGCATCGTCAAAACTCCCGATCAGTTGACTCCCATGTTGACCAAAGTCCATTTGACCCGGCTCCGACCCGATACAATCAGCCAAGCAATTAGGTTTTTGAAACGCATCTCCATCCATAGGATTAGGGAAGAAATCATCGAATGATACATCAAAATCAACATCATCAATCGAGAAATCTACACTCCGAAATTCCATCGGAAAATCATCACCGATCCCCTGATCTGCTTCGGTGATATGTTGGACAAAAAACGTATGGTCAAGCGGTGGAACTGCAAGACCATCGAATTCCCCGGGGAGATTCTCATCCACCGGTGGCGGTTGATCGGACATATCTAGAATTTTCCGGCAATCTGATCAGAGATTTAGAGAGAGAAAGGGTAGAAATAGAGAAGAAAGTGAGATTTTGTTATACAATATAGTTTTTATTTATTATATATATATTAAGTAGAATGAAAGAATGGATTACACGCTTTTAGATTGCTTTTCATTTAAGGGAAAAAATTATTTAAAAAATTGAATTTGCATTTTGGATTATTATATGATGCATTAGACTCCAAAACAGAAAACTTTTCTTCTTTTTTTTCAACTTCCCAAAACACAAGACAGTCCATAGTTTTTCTTCGACTCTACCTCGTCAACTCGGATTCAATATATGTTATTATTTTTTTATTTTAATTTATATAAAATATGCAATATTTAAAACTATTTAAATTTAATAATTATGATAATTTATAATATTTTTATATAATTTTAAAAGAAAAAAAGATGAATAAGTCTTTAAAATATCGTAGATAGTATTCAGACATCCTTTGCCATATTCTCGCTCATCCAAAAACTATAGCATATATACATTTTATACTAACAAGCACACACATATCATAATCTTATCAATAAATCTGATATTTATTAAATATCGAATCGACGGATTAAGTTGTGCCACGTATTCCTATTCATTAGAATGAAAGACATATATGCTCTAAATTTATCATTTGTGCTTATATTAAATCATGTGCTTTAATAATAACAATATATATCATGTCATTTTATAGATGAAGCCAGAGAATGTTAGAATATATATCAACTTTATTTCAATTTTTGTTGTGTAGAGAAATTATTTTTAATAAATATCAATTGCTTAAAAATAATGTGACCAACGCAAGATTATAAGAAAAATAAAACAACAAAATAGCAAATTACAAGACAACAGAATTATACAAATTAAAAATAAGAAACTACACAATAACTAAATAAAATTACAAAAAGATAAAAGAAAGGGACAAGAAGGCTAGCTCTTACTTCTCTCATTTAAAATGCGATAACACTCGTGTACCTACTACTCTTTCCATTATTCTCAAGTATAATTTGTTTATTTTTATCTAAAATTTTATTCTCAATCATCTGAAATTATCTCATGCCTAATTTAATGATTTCTTCTTTAGTTTATCTATAATTTTTTTTTTACTTCTCGATTTATTTATATCACTTTTAATTTCTACCACATCAAATCTCTCATATTTCCTTACTACTAAAATATTTTTTTCACCAACTTTTTCTAAAGAATATGAAACACCTCAAAGCTTAAGTTATTACAGAATGTAGGGAGTGAGATTTTTATGTGTTTCTGAATTAAATTGAATTGAAAAAAAGTAGTACCACTAATATATGGTATTTGCTAACTCGTTTTCCACGTTCTTGTATAGTCAATTTTCATATCTTTTAAATCTTAGCCAACGTGTAACTAATTTTGGCCAGAATTATATGCAATTGAGATGAATTTATCCATTTTATTCACAAACTCATGAGGCATGAAAAGTGAAAAATATTCTCATATTGTTATTTGCCCGCAGATATTGAATTAATTTGTTATTAATAAAATTAAATTATTAAGTGATTAAAAGATATTTCTTTTTTTGAAAAAAAAATATTTACGCAAATAATCTCTTAAATATGTCACGATGTTTAATTAACACACCTAGTGACTGTTAAATTTTAAAGATTCCCTTAATGCAATGGTGGAACAAAAACTTCAATGAGGATTACAAAAAATATGTCATGTTAATGATAAAAAGACGTGTTAATCAAGAAGGTCAAAACAAATGATTTAATAAGTTTTTGTGTTGGCAAATTTCTTAAGAAAAGGCCCATAAATCTAAAGTTTTAGGTAAATTTTATTTTGAAATGAAGAAAGAAGTAATTTCGAAATAAATTTATGTGATTTATCTCAGAACTTTTGGGTAAATC